TTTATTCCACTTTCAAAAACAAAAACATTTTTTTGGGACAAAAAATTTTTTTTTTCAATTTTTTGAAAAAAGTGCTAAAAAGTAAGTATTTTTTCATGTTTCTGTTTTTTGGTGGAAAAAAACTTATATTATTCTATTGTATTCTATCCAACCAGAACATACATCCTTCGCATGCATTCATTCTGATTCAGAATCTAAAATAAAATCTTGCCCATATTTAGCCCAAAGACCTTCTATTTAGAAATGAGTGAAATAAGCCGAGCTGCATTTTTCGAGGTTTGGTCGAAAAACATAAAAACCACTCCGCGGGACGCTCTTGTAAAGCACGCAGTGATGGTGTTTGGCAATGACATTGATCACTCCGAATTGAAATTACACTGTCTTTTGAGTTTAAAAACCGATTTAAGAAATCTAGGAGAGATAAAGCCAGGTTTTTTGCTCATAATGCAAGTGGCCTTCAGGTCACATTAAATGGCGAAGACTGTCGCATTGATGTCATTGCTTCCACCTCAAGTACAAGAGGGAGGTCACAAAAAGTCTTTTCTGAGTGTTCTCCTAAAACACAAAAAAAGAAAAGCCAAGAATTGTTGCCTACGATAGATGAGGATCAATTGCTATCAGCTGCAGAACAGACGGGCAGAAGGAAAACGGGATTCAGCTAAATTAAATAATGAATTACCAAATGCTCCCCCGTGCACGGGGACTATAATTAAAAAAGCTAAATTATCTTCTAATAGCACTGCAAAACACCTTCCAGCAGATCAAGCTCTTGCCCTTATGATAGAAAGTAAATTACACTGTGCAGCATTTTTATTGTTTTTTAAATTTACCTCGATTGATTCTATATTTTTGGATTCGTTACGAATTCCCAAGTTAAACTGCGTTTTCCAAAAAGTTCCCCGACGCAAGGATTCTTAGCAAAAGGACCTCAAAGTTCGAAAAATGCTGAAATTGGCCAACTTTGCGGAGCTCTCAGAGGCAAATGGATGCATGGTTTGATTCAATGTTAAAGTTTTTTAAAAGATACACCCTTTATCTTTCAAACCCCATACTTAAAATTTAACTTAAAAACATACAACTGCGGTCAAAATAGTAGTAGTGTTGCCGCCTTGTGTTTTTAAAAGTTTGATGTTTTTTTTTGTTTTTTTTTATTAATTATCTTTAATACAAAACCTTATTTGCAGCTGTTTAGCTTATAACTTCGAAGTTACAGCTAAAAACATGAGCATATAACCAAAATTCAACATTTTCAAAAAAAAAAAAAAAATGGCCTCCAAAAATTAAAAACAAAATTTTTTAAGTTGGCGAAAATTATAACAAACAAGAGAGAACGCTATAGTCGGGTTGGTGTCCCGACTATCTAATACCCGTCACTCAGCTAAAGGGAGTGCGAACGCTGTGTCGGGTTGGTGTCCCGACTAATAATCGTAACTCAGCTAAAGGGTGTGCGAGGGAGATAGATATATGTTGACAATTTATAAAGCGTATAACTTTTTAATGAATGGTCCGATTTGAAAAATGTCTTCTACATTTCGATAGGTATAAATATACACAACAAAATTGCATTTATACTTCTCGGAAATCTTTAAAGGTGTGGGCGCAGACCCATTTTAAAATCGTTAGTGGGCGATTGTGGGCGTTAGAGGGGGCGTGGCGCTCGGCTAAAATAAACGAAAATAGTTAAAAGTTTCAAAAATTGTTTTTGTAATTTTTGTTGGGGTTTTTATCTTTAAAAAAACAGTTTTTTTTTAAATTTTTAACGCCCTTAAAAGTGCCACCGCCATTTTTTATGTTCAACATAATCTTTGGGCTTACTAGAATATTCACTCCAAATTTGAAGCCGATATCTTTAAAAATACGACTCCTACTGATTTAAGTCCCCCTAGATTGGCAAAATCTTAAACTGTGCACCGGCCACAACAGCTCAAAATTTCGAAATTTTCAATTTCAATTTATTAAGTCTTGGTAGCAATCCACCATCACAGCGGATTTTCAATTCTTCGGCTATATAATAGTAGTCGCCATCGCACACTCTCCTTGTGCGGCTCGGGTAACGGATATAATAAAAAAACAAGAGAGAACGCTATAGTCGGTTTGGTGTCCCGACTATCTAATACCCGTCACTCAGCTAAAGGGAGTGCGAGGGAGATAGATATATAAATTTTGATTGCGTATAACTTTTTAATGAATGGTCCGATTTGAAAAATGTCTTCTACATTTCGATAGGTATAAATATACACAACAAAATTGCATTTATACTTCTCGGAAATCTTTAAAGATGTGGGCGCAGGACCCATTTTAAAATCATTAGTGGGCGATTGTGGGCGTTAGAGGGGGCGTGGCGCTCGGCTAAAATAAACTTGCGCTGCGTAGGAAGCCAAAGAATATGTGTGGGAAATCTCAACCTTCTAGCTTTTGTAGTTTCTGAGATCTCAGCGTTCATACAGACGGACAGACGCACAGACGGAGAGACGGACAGACGAACAGACGGACATGGCTAGATCGACTCGGCTAGTGCCCCTGATCAAGAATATATATACTTTATGGGGTCGGAAACGCTTCCTTCTAGCTGTTACATACTTTTGAACGAATCTAATATACCCTTTTATTCTACGAGTAACGGGTATAATTAACAAGAAAGGAAGCTTGCTTCGGCTATAGCCGAAGCTTATATACCCTTGCAGATCATTCCTATTAACTTACAAATCGCAATAACTTTTAATTTCGTATTATTTTGACATTATTTTTTCTATCTTTCCCTATGACAGCTTTATGATATAGTCGTCCGATTTTGATAAAATTAAAATTGAAATTCGAAAATATTTAAAAAGAGTCATATCCTAGAGTAGAAGAGAATATAATAAAAACCAAAGAAGCTAAAATTTATTTTCTATTATTTTCCCATTGATATTCCGATCGTTCCTATGGGAGCTATATGATATAGTCGTCCAATTTTTTTAATATTTAATTCGAAATTCAGAAATATTTAAAAAAATAATATTCCCAAGGGTAGAAGGTAATATTTTAAAAAACACCGAAGCTAGAATTTTTTAAACTATAAGATATAGTTGTCCGATCCGGTCGACTTATAAACTACCTGCAACAGAAAGAAGACTTTTGGGAAATTTTCAAGCCGATATCTTCAAAACTGAGAGACTAGTTTGCGTAGAAACGGACAGAAAGACGGACATGGCAAGATCGACTCGTCTAGTGATGCTGATCAAGAATATATATACTTTATGGGGTCGGAAACGTCTCCTTCACTGCGTTGCAAACTTCTGACTGAAATCATAATACCCTCTGCAAGGGTGTAACAATTATCCGTAGGAAAGTATCATCATTATTGCAGAAGATATTAATAAATCGCCTCCAAATCAGCCGATTCGCCCACTGTGCGCTAGTAGCTTTGACGAGTGTATATATCCATCCACTCGCACTCCCTTTAGCTGAGTAACGGGTATCTACTAGTCGAAGTTTTGTGTAGCATAAAGAAGCTTGCGCTGAAAAACTTTTGTTCTACCACATTTTGATAAAAACGCTAGAAAAAGCTAATAGGTTCTTCCCACAAAGCTCCTTCCACCATCTACCATCCGTTGAACGGATGGTTCGTAAGATTTTGCCGTTCCGCCATCCAATTTTGACGGACTTTGACGGGCTCCTTTATGCGATAGTTAGGCGATGGTTTCTCGGTGCAACTCTGAATTCTTCCTCTTGACTGTGAAAATTGGAACGATGACTGCGAGAACAAATCAAATCGATGGCGGGAAAAAATTAAATATTGCTTCAGCTCATTGTTTTTTGTGTTTTTTTTTAAATTATTTGTAGTTTGTTATGAGCAGAAAAGCGTTTGCAAGCAGGTTGCTATGTGTGGGCCAAAATGTAAGCTGTTGTGCGTACGAAAAAATCAATGTTTGCAGCAAAGTGTCAAAATATGTTCTGCACTTCGTAAATATAACTAATATTAATTAAAAGTTTACTTTGTACTCCTATAAAGTTCCAAAGTTGCTATAATTTACCAAAAACAGCATAAATTTGGTTTTGTTTACAAATTTTTCATGTTAATATTGGCTAGGCAGAGGCGTAGTAAGAGCGGAGTGTGGGATACGGGAGGTTAGGCTCACCCCCAGTCAGCAATATGTATGCATACTCGTTGTAGGATATGTTATAAACGTTCAGATATGTTTTTAAACCATTTTGTTAATCTATTTATTGTATTATTCTACAATAAAACTAGGAGAACGCAATTTTACGACAGTTTTCCCGAATTTAAATCCCCCTTCGTTAATGTTGAGCTGAGCAAATGCTCTTCAGTCAGCTGTTATTGGATGGTAGATGGTGGATGGAGTTCTGTGGGAACACAAGTTTCATATTCGTCAAAAATCCCAACCGTTTCAAACGGATGGACTCTATGGGAAGAGGCTATAAGATAAACTTATTTTATTTTTGAATTTAAAACTTTTGTATTTAAGCAAAAAGTCAAATTTTTAGCTGAAAATCGTATTTTTGACTTCAAAATTGAAAATTAAAAATCGAGCTTTCCATTGGCGGGTTTTTATATTTCTTAAGCAAAATCCGACTATTTTTGGCTGCGATAAGTCCATTTAATCAGTGTTTATAGAAAAAGTCGAAAATTTAGTTAATTTTTCGATGCCAAAGACGCTACTGATTTTGTTCAACATTTAAGAAATCCACAGCAATAAAGATCAACTAAGATCAATGTAATATACGTAAGTATAATTTTTTATATTTCTATAATAGTAATAATGGGCACTAAATATAATTTAGATTGAACCATGATACTATCTATATTGCGCCAAAACCATTGATGTTTGCTATTCTGTACAACCATCGATAGTGCTATCGATTGATTTATGAACATTATTCAATAGAAAAGGTCAAAATGTAGAAAAGCTCATTTCATTAAAGTTTGAATTAACTAAGTTTTTCAGAGATGCAATGAGCACCGCTGTGAAAAAAAAATATTTCCAATACTTACTTACCAATTTCATTTTAATATTTAGTAGTTTTCGCTTTCTTGAGGTCCACTTTTAACCTTTTTATACTTATATGTCAACTTAAGACGTTAAACAATAAACTTTTTTTGAAAAAGTTGTTATTTTTTTTGAACGGATTTGAACCAATTTTAATTATTTTCTTATAATAATTATATATAATTATAATATATATGTATAATTTTATAATTTCTGAAGATTTATAGGTATAAATTTACGATGCGATTCGATACAATTAACTTCACCAGCACGCAAAGGTAAAACAATTGTTTCTTTCTGTAAGGCTTGTCTCAATTTTTTGTAGACCACTTATCCATTCCACCTATCCTTCCAAATATTCAATTTACATCGTATTGATCTGGTATTGGGAAATATCCACTCAATTTGCATTAAAACTTTTAGAAAATATGCGTATTCTTCTCTCTGCACTAGAATATTGCATCACGAAAAAGGTACGAAAACTGAATATGAAACACCGTTTTCGTTGATATTGACATGGTTAAAGAGAAAGCAGGAGTGAGGAACAGAAACCGATGCAGACCTGTGAATTCGTGAAAACAAAATACGCTTGGGCGTATTTCAGCCAATAAGAGACCGAAAACAAAGGAGCACCACAGAAAGAGCAGAATATATGTATATATTGAAGTGAAAATAAACCAATAAGATTAAACTTTCCAAGTTCCAAGGGGCGTTTCTGAAAGACAGCGCTTGCGCTCTTTTGGTGATAAAAGTTTGTCAAATTCACCCTGTGATGGTACGAGTATGTGGTGCAATTTAAAATATTTGAACTGTTGAATGTTGCTTTTAATTAAATTAACTTTACCAACCTAACTGAGTTATGATAATTGAATTTTACTCGACATGTCAGAACGTGTGATTGTAACAAGGCAAAGTCCTTCAACAAGGTACAACTGATTTGTAATGGAACTGCCAGAATGGACTATTTACTTTTATCGAATGGCCCTCACTTATGTGAATGTTTTTATCGAAATATTTTACTTATTGGCATAAAGTTTCTTATATCTTAAAGATCTCGCACAAAAGCTAACAATTTACTAATCTTACTTTTCGGCTAAGATTCGAAAAAATTTTATAGTTAAAAACTTAAACAAAATTTCTTTGACACCCGATTAAGTTTAAAAACCCGATACTCCGTTGAAGAGTTGTCAAAATATTCTAGTGGCGCCTTTGGCCAAAAATGTGAGATCGTCCTTCTTATTGTTTTCACTGATTGGTGTCAAATACGTAGAAGCCAAGTAATTTTGATGTCTGAAAGTAGAGAAAAGAGTCAACAAATTGTTCAAAATGTTTTTGATCTAAGTCAATTTTTTTTTTCAATTATTCAATTGGTTAAAAAAAAAATACATTAAAAAAAAAAAAAGGCAAACGGCTCCTCTGTGCGTATGTCCGATTCAACGCTGGTGTTTAAAGATTTAAATTCGTATACCTAATAATCAATTTCACAAAATCAAATAGTATACAAAAAATTGTACATTTCGACGAATTTTTTCTGACTATAACATAATTATACCCGTTACTCGAAGAGTAAAATGGTATATTTTATTCGTTCAAAAGTATGTAACAGCTAGAAGGAAGCATTTCCGACCCTATAAAGTATATATATTCTTGATCACGGTCACTAGCCCAGTCGATCTACCCATGTCCGTCTGTCAGTCCGTCTGTATGAACGCCTTAAACGATTTTAAAAGGTGTCTGGCGCCCACAACTTTAAAGAATTCGGAAAAGTAAAAAAGCAGATTTATGGTGTTTATAAATACCTACACACAAAAAAATTTGCTTGGTAAAACTGACCAACAAAGTTAGTTACGTAACTATTAAAATAGTTACGTGTATTTTGTTTTTGCTTTGGGTTTGTGTCTTTGCTAATGGTGTGTAGTTTGTTGTTGTGAAATGACAATTTACTTAGTAGAATTGACAATTTTGCTGGTTGGGGCCTGTTTGACAATTATTACAGTTGATTTTACCAAGTTTTTTTTTTTGTGTGTACCCAAAAACCTATCCAATTTTAAAATCGGACCATTCGCTACGCACGGTGAAAGTTTTATATCTCCCTCGCACTCTCTTTAGCTGAGTAACGGGTATTTAATGGGTATTTGATGGTCGGGTCACCCGACTATAACGTTCTCTTTTGTTTTAACTGAAATACACTACTGGTCAAAATAATAAGTACACACGTTACATCCTCACTTGCTAAGAGATATATTTATAGTTATTGAGGCCAGACCTCCCAAACCTTTTAATTTTAAAAGGTTATTCTGTTCTGCAATATTTTAATAAACAATGTATACAGTAAAACCTGTCTATTCCATGTTAGCCATACATTTGTGCGAAAGGTCGGTTTTGGTGTGGTCAAAATAATAAGTACACTTGTGTTACTTATAATTTTTTTTTTAAATATTAAATCTAGAATGGGGCTACGGTTAGTATTTTATCTAAAGTTAGGATCATGTTAGATCATGGATTTGGTTACTTCAAAGCAGCGGTCGGTAGCGCCCTACTAAGTGAGCATGGGGTTTTGTTCTGCCCAGCCGCTGCTCGCTCACGTATACTGTAGAACAGCGGTCTGCACACACACTTTGATGATCTGCCAAGTGAAATTTACTAATACAAATATTAAACAAAATGTTATTGTATGTGTGTGCCGACCGCTGCTTCAAAGTCATCATCCATGTTAAAATCTGATTTGCAGCTTAAAAGGAAATTTAACACTTAAGTATGGCTGGTGATTTCATAAATTTTCTTTAAAATTACTACTCTTAATAAATAAAATAGATTTGGAAAAAATGAGTACTTAGACCGTAAAAAATGAGGTAAATACTTGTCAAAAAACAAAGTTACACGCGGTTTTAATTTAAAAAAAAAAAATTAAATTTTAAATTCTTTATTTTTTTATTTTTTTTATAGTAGATAAAACGACCAAAAAAATGAGATATGTTTCATCTTCCCTCGTTGACAAACTGTTGTTTTTAAACAAAAACCAACATTTAAATAAATTAAAAATGTCGTTAACAAAAAAAAAATTTTGTTACTTAACATCGATGTTCGCAAACATCGATGTTTCTCCACCTCTATCGTGAATTCGGCAACATACGAAAGTTGACTATGATTTCGGGCTTAAATCGTGATTTGGTGATAAGCAGATCTTTTAACTCTGCACACTGGGCCAGCCGATCAGATTTTTGGCCAAAAATACGTTTTTCTTTTTTAAGAAAATGACCAAATTGAGTTTGGGATCCTTTTTATAATACATTAAACTAATTTATGCCAAAGTTTCAAAGAATTTGGGCAAGTAGTTTTCTTTTACCATATTTTCAAAGTGAAATATTCATAAAATATTGATGGAAATGAAAAAAAATTTAGAAGTCAAAGATGCTGATGTTGCTGTTCGACTTCTTTCCGAAACTTGCAGAAGGGATTATTTTCAACAAGTAAAAAATATAATATAGCTCGTATGTCTTACTTGTTTGCTAAAATAAATGTAATTGTTAATTTTTACGCTTTTTTTCAGCAAATGAGTACTTTGCTTTTCGAGTGCCTTCGAGTGCCATCCCCAAATTAGTTCATTCCTTCCAAAAAAAATTCGTTGATCAATTTACTAAAAGCGTAGCCCACCGACTCGATGCGGTTTTGCCTTAGTTTTCGGTAATTTAAGTTTTAATTGAAGGCTTAACTCGAAGTCGAGCTATTTTGAAGAGCTTAGCTAAGAGAGCCCAAGAGTATGCCATACTTTATTTCTTCAGGTTTTGGTGAACATTTTGCGCTCAAAAATTTGATTTTAGTGTGACTAACATCTAAAATCTACTTTTTACGTACACTAATCGATTATGGTATTTTCCAAACCTATATCTATCTATTTAATCAGGACTATGCAAATAAAAATGTAGCATTCTTTTGTGATGACTTCAGAATATGTCAAATTAACATTAAACAAATCAATAAACAATATTTTTAAACAATTTTTTTTACATAATTTGATTATATAAAACTTAAAAGGTAACAAGAACAAAAAAATAGAAATTTTTTTTAAACCGATTGTTTGATAAACGTTGATGTGGGAGCCTCCGAAAGTTGCACTTTTTAACGGTTCATAAATCTTAAATGACATAATATTTTTTAGTGATGTTAATTTTTTTAGTTTGTTTTATCTCATACTTTATTGTTTTCGAAAATGGAAGAAGTGCGTCTTCTAGTTATTTTTTTAAAAATAAAAAACCGAAAAGTACGTAAAATTTTCCGACTTTGGTCTGGATTATCTATATCATATAAAATTCCAAGAAATTTTACTTTTAGTTCGTTGGAAAGTTCAATCTTTTAAGAAAAAAACGCAAAAAACTGCATCCTTCTAACTGTCCTGGAAAGAAATTACAGATTTTTGGCCAAAAAATTAACTTTCTGGCCCAGTGTGCTCTGTATAAATTATCGACGTTGCCAGATTGCTCGAAATTGAAGGTCCTTTATAGTCTATTTCTTTACTCAGCGCTATTAAAAGTCAGAAATGATACTCTGTTTATACGATAGCAATCACGATTTCTTGAAAGCGCGAAATAGAAATAACCCCTGTTTATACGACAGCCGAGAATTCATGCTTTTATTCACTCTCAGCTGATAGGGATGCCGGACCGGTAAAAATAGGTGATCATTTCTAATTTTTATTACCGCTGAGTAGAGAAATAGCCTATAAGGGCCTTCAATTTCTAGCGATCTGGCAACGTCGATAATTTATACAGAGTTAAAAGATCTGCTTATCACCAAATCACGATTTAAGGCCGAAATCTCACCAAATCACTCTTCTAGGCTGAAATCATAGTCAACTTTCGTATGTTGCCGAATTCACGAAATGGCGTTTATACAGACACGAATCGGCCGAAAGCGTGAAATGCTAGCGTGAATTTGGCATCGTATACAGTATATATCGCGCTTTTAAGAAATCGTGATTCCCATCGTACACACTAAAAAATTTGCTTGGTAAAATTGACCAACAAAGATAGTTACGTAACTATTAAAAAAGTTACGTGTATTTTGTTTTTGCTTTGGGTGTGTGTCTTTGCTAATTGTGTGTATTTT